GAGTAATACAAGTGTGACAAAATTTGAAAATGACAGTTATTCTCTTTCCGAAATACTAATCTCGAATCAAGTATAACGTTGATAATATCAACGTTCTACGGTTACCTATTACCTATCGTGCTGGAAAAAAGCATCGGCACCGGCATCGGTGAGCCTGAAGGTCGGTACACTCCGGAACAGTCATTCTGTGGGATTTCATAAATCTACCTTGCCGGTTCGAGTCCTCTTAGGCCCTTTTTTCGGGCCGCGCGTTAACACAGGCGTTGCCACTCTTTAGTAATCCCTCCTCGGTGACATCAATAAGCTACATCCACCAAAGATATGCTTTTTATCTTGACCAGAGAGGAAATTTCCTCTCTGTCTTGACGTTGGTCAGAGTTCATCACGAACTTTTTTTCTGGAAACTATAAAAGTTTATCACGTGCTGTGCAAAATGGAAGAGAGAAACTACACTAAGGTTGCGATCTAACGAAATGTTAAGATAATTCAACATATAGATAATATCTCCTCGGTCCTCAAAATATTAAATGTAACACATCTTTTTCTTTTTATTATAATTTTTACCCTTCGATATTCTTATTTTACCTGTATCGGCAGGTATATCGATTGGATGCCAATAATTTTGACTACTTACCGTTGTAAGGCACCACTTGGTTCATAATTCGTTTCGTTCAATAATATTTGGAAAACAAATAATAACATTTACATTTTTTGTATGAACAATTTCGGGACACATTGTCACTTTGTTTCCTACATTTTAACTTTCCAGTCGAAAATCATCAATCATATCTTTATTCGTTGTTTTTCAAGATAATAAAATCCCTTAATGATTTAGCAAGGTACAGAAGTAACAAATAAATTATTTAAATGAAATTTATGATATTTTACAGAAACATCTGCTATGTTTGAAGAAAACGACATTTCATATGCACCAACTAAATATCTTTTCCTGATATCTAAATGTATTTCTCATATGAATGATGAGAAACTCATCACAACTAGATCAATCATGCGTTAATTTGGTCAACGTTAATTTAAAGTTTGCATGTAAACGGCATTCCCGCTGTTTTAAAAATGAAAGTTGCGAATCATTTAGCCACTCGTGCAAACAGTCTTCCCACCGCCGTGCTAAGAACCGCGGGAGACTAATGTAAAGCAAAAGCAGTTCGCTCGTATCTTATTTCCTCGAACAATTATTCCATTAAACAGATGAAGATCTTTTTAACCAGCTACGAGTCTCGGTAAATTTTCTCTTCAAGCGTCGTTATACTGTATCGTCAATATCCTTCAGTCGACCCTTCATATCGCTTTGACTTGAGGCATTCGGCGCTCGTAAAATGTTTTCATGTTTTATGCTGCACATTGTTGTGCTAGACGTAGACATATTGTAGACATATGGGAGTCCATTTTCATGATTTACAGACACGGTTAGTGCGTCTTTCGATTAAACTTTCCATTCTTAACGTTTCGCTGTCGAAAGAATACTAGCCAAGTTGATATTGTCTGAAACTGTGAATCATCCTAATGGAAGTCTAAAGGGTTCTGATGAATAAATTGCTCACACGAGCAACGATATTTTTAAAATGCTCTTCTTCGAAATTACATATCAAATTGTCAAGAAGTTTTCAAAGGTTAATACATGATGTATTATAATTTCATTATACAATATACATACATACATGTATAATATTATTCTAAACATATGTTGCATTATTATATTTGGTTGAAACATGTGCTACTATATGCATGTTCCTTATTCTTATTTCGTTTTTCGAGTCATATGATTATTAAAAATTCTCTACTTTGGTGTTGTCTTTCTTGACTCTCCTTGACTTCTTTGAAAATTGTTATAAATTTAGAATAGAAATGGTCGCACGTCGAACAGAATTTGTACGTTCCATACGATTCTCTTTGTTCGTACGTTAAAAATGGATGATTTCCAATATATCGGTACAAAGGCACGCTCACTTTCGCCCATTGTGCCATTATGCTCGGCTTGTTCGAGAGCCTTGAATTTTGACACTTCTGTCATTACATCCGGTGTTGAGTAGATTGGCTTGACAATAGTACTTACCCTTTCCCGCGAGTGGAAGGGTTACGTATTTGATTTTGTTCTAATCGACACGTTCACCCCCTCGCGTTCTCGTCTTACGCTGCAGACGACAGTGATTTCCGTATTGTTGTACGAGGACAATTGCCGAAAGAAAATAAACGAAAGGGAACGTGATTGGTGCGAATTGTACTTAATGTCTGACGCAACGAAATCTTGAAGCGATCCAAGGGAAATAGTTGACAACCCCTCAGTTGAATCCTTTATCTTCGTTCTGACGTGCTGTTATTGCTCTGCTCAGATTCATTGTCATGAAATATGTGAATCCATAATATTGATAGATATCTAGGAGAACGTTTTTTACGGAGTACACGTCTCACTTCGTAGTTTAAAAAAAGTTTTGACTTGTATGACGTTCAACACGTTTTCGAGCGGCATTCCAATAAAAAATGTTTATTCGAGTTGGTTTGGTACTTTGCTGTTGACTTGATTGCTGTAAACGTTTATCAAACGAAGCTTGTACGTATATGGTTGCCGCGCGAGACTGTATTCCAGGGTGAAAGGTAAAATTTTCATCGTTACAAAATCGGACAAAATGTCGACGATAATTTTTCACGGTCCCGCGACCAGAATCCTCGATCTCGCTTTTACGATGCGCGCGTCGAAACGACGGCTATGATTCTTTTTTACATTCCATAAATCCGGGCGTCCGAGTCGCGACAAACCTTGGCAAGTGTTCGCTATTACCACTTCAGGATCGATGACGAATATTCCGCGCGGCCCTCCAGTCGTTTGTTCGATTTTTCCCGCAGTCAGACGAAACCGTGGGAAGGCAGAAAAAATAGAGAAGAGAAAAAGGGTGGCGTCGGCGGAGAGAAAAACGGGATAAGGGAAAAGTGTGCCACAGAACAAAAAGGAAACGATCCACGATGCAACGAGATTCTTTAATCTCGTCCGTCGTTCGACACGTATCTGTGACAGATGTTCGCACAGATACATGCACGCCTATCGAGTTTCGGTTTTGTGCTTTTTAACCTTTCAGCCGCGGGGCTGAAAGAATCGTCGCTGGTATTTCCTCTTTTCTCTACCCTGTTTCATGCTTTTCCTGTCCCCTTCTCTTTCTGCCTACCTTGTTTTTAGCTCTCCTTTCCTCGAAATGCAAAAATAAGCGTGGTACGACACGTACGGGAAGGAGGATAAAAAATGGGGAGGCATTGTAAGAAGAGTAGTGCACGAGTTCGTGTATCAGAGGGGCTGCATTCATTAAAATATTCGTGTAAAAGAACTCTAGGTATTTGTGACTCTGATTGCGACGAAATAGAGCGTCGGAGCGATTTAACGCTTTCGCATGCGTGGTACGTAACGATGTAAAGAAAAAAGGGTGAGTAGAAAAGAGTGCTCTGCAACTGTAGTAGAAAAAATAAAAGTTCGTGCAAAACGATGATCGCCAAAGGGAATGAATCGTTCCATGCAAATGCTTAGGCTAATGAGCGAAGCATTACAGATCGAAATTTCAAAAGTTCTTTTAATTCGTACTAGTTCTCGAAGTAATTGTAGATTTTCTAAGCAAAAATGTATTACGAGTTAACTATTTCGTGGCTAGCGGCAATTAAAATATTCGTGTTGACATACTTCTTATAATTTATTTCCTATAGTGCTGATAAGTGCAACTTGGCTTTTGCATTAGTCTAATAAATTTTATTCTCTTATTCTTTCTAACGTTTTTAAGATAGTTTAGGTCGAACGACGAACACGCGTTTTTGAAATTGCCTGTTTCCTGCTGTGAGGAAAGTGTGTCGATTTAGGAAAAAAATAAAAAAGTGAGAAAAAAGAGGTTGATGGGAAGAATGAAGGTTCAAACGAAACGTGACAGATCAAACGCCCGTTGAAAGAATCGACAGCATCGAATAGAGGAAAGAGGCTCGGCGGAATTACACTTTCGACCGTACGTTAAATGCAGCGGCGTAGATGGATAACACATGTAACGGGGGTTGGAACAATAAATTATCCAAGCGCAAGGCGCGAAATAGCGATCCGGCTAGATAACGTCACTGCAC